CTCGTCTTGTTTTGCCACGGCTTCTCGAACAGGGCGCGTCATCACACTGTGGAAAGTTCTTTCCAAAAGCCACCCCTTTCCTCCTCTACTCCCCCAATTTTTCCCAGAATTGTAGAATTTTCAGCGTCAAGCGGAAGGAAGGGGAGCGTATTGTAGACACTCCCGGTCAACTATAGGAAATAGTACTTTTGCGACGCCTAGATTAAATGTGTTCTCAATTTCCTCCTCGTGGGAGTGCTCAGACAACGAGACGTGGCGTGCCATTCGCCTCCCGCTTGGCATCCTACCTCGAGACTATCATCTCCGTTGATTATTTGCGTTTTATCATCTTCAACTTTAGCGGGTTCTGGTTTAGGTTTGCTGGCTGCAGGCTTCCTCGCTCTGACTGATTCTTGGGTTTTCTGGATCGATTCCTTCTTCCGAGCTGAAACAACGCATAGAGAACTTTCACTCCCTGATAAGATAGGTAAGTTCTCATGGCTTTTTTTGGAATCATTAGGGTGCAATGCTCTAGACGGTAACGCGGCCATAGACGGATATCAATCGGCGCCGACCGCTACTGTTCCGGGAGAGAATAAACGAATGGAAGGATACCAGACAGGGTGATTAGGCAATGCTACCCTCCCGCTCTACCGTATTTTTTTCACTAACACTCAAAACAGTAGTGGCTGGCAATCGGTACCCGTCCAAGGCTGTGTTCCCGTCTAGCATCGAAGGAAGCAGTGGTTCCGTGTCACAGCGCGTCATCGCAAAGTCTGAACGCTACCTTACACTCCAAGGACCAGGTGAAATGTCCTACTAGCAAGACGAGAACTGCCCTCCTCTCAGCGGACACGAACGAATAGAGAAGTTCTTGGTACGCCTACGTTGTCGCGAGCCAGTTGATGCCGCCGTCCTGGGTGCTTTCTTTTCCTTCTGCGTGGTATCTAGTGACTTCCATTTCTGGTTTCCAATTTTGGCTGAAAGTATTCACAACAGAATCTTCAGGTAGATTTACTTCAATTTCATATCACTTACTTGCGCTACTAATTCTTCGTATCTTCTCTTTGCTATTAGATAGAAGGGTTCTGTTAAGGGTGGCCAGTTTCGTCCGAATTTCCTTGTTCACATCGCGTCGGTTCTTGACATGATTGGAGTTCTTCTGCTTCGATCCATTCTCGGCCATCTCATGCCTTTTGGTGAACTAAATGCCTACACACTCATCTTGTGGTATTTATAGTGATATCAGAAGCTTACCGCTCGTGCTATCATTCTATTATACAAACAGTAACTTGAGTGTCGGCTTGTTTTCCATTCACTCGTAAATTGTTCCATTGTTGAGAAAGGAAACTTGTAGGTGAAACAACCGCTCAAAAGTGGCAGTCAATTGGTGTTGTAGTGCTAAAGGGAAAGGGCGCGATAAATAACGTGTAAAGTGACGAACACTAAACAACGAGCCCTGAAAAGCCTCAGATGGTGTCTCTTTCAAAGAAAAGCGGTATCTAAACCAGGGTACAGCATGGGGATGTGCGAAATGTCGGTGTGAGTACGACCCCCCCCCCCTTCGAATGGGGTCCAGGCACGACCCCCCCCCCCTCCCCAGAGCAAAAGTACGAGCACCGATCAGCAATTGATCATGATCGGATCAGCTGTCTCAGCTAACAACTTGCGACTGAATGGAGCTTCTTTCCCTTCTTCAGGGGTTGCTCTGAACGAGGTAAGTTCTCATTGTTGGAAGAAATTGGTTA